AGACTTCATCCTTGGCAACAGCAACGAGGTATTCAATATAGTCTTCAGCAACTGGTCTGACAACATTTGCCCATTCCATTTGAACTTTAGCGACAGTCTCAGCATACTTGTCTTGAATGAATTTCTTTGATTCAATTCTTTGTTGTTTTCTCAAAGTCTCATACTCCATTTGAAGTTGTTGGAAGTCTTCTAGGAAGTTTTGGAGAGCAGTTTCATTAAATTTAATTTTGACATCAAGCATTTGAAGGATGTCATCAATTTCTTGAGTGACTTTATTAACTTTCTTTTAAGGTTTGGTTGGCTATATTGGTTTATAGGTTGGATAATTATTAGTCTTCACAACAATAGTTTCATATCTTTTAGTTTTAGGATTATATTAGACGGTGTATTTATCTCCGCTATAATAGCTAGCAAGAGAGAGTGGATCAGCTCTCTTTTCAAGGAGAACCTTGAAGAGTTCTCTGTTTTGAGTCATTTTGAAAACGCTTGGATTTGCATCTCCGAAGAGGGCAACAGCAAAGAGGTCAGCGCACTCATCAGCTGAAACTGTGCCGTCAAAGCATGGAAGGTCAGCAGAGTACAAGTTGAGGTTAGCAACTCCAGTCTTCATACAGCTTTAAGCAACACCGCTTATACAGGTAAAGTACCCAACATCAGTTGGCGTGAACTATGTTTTGCATTGAGCAACTCCATTAGTCATGCATACTTGGTAATCACCAATAATTTAGTATATCATTTCTTCATTGCAACCGCATTTTTCAAGGGCACACTATTTGCCAGTCTCAATGTCTTTGTATTAACTGCATTGGGCTTGAATACAACTGAAGGTACAGACATTAGCAGAGACAATTCCAACAAAGGAAAGGGTGGCAGCTATTAGCAAAGATTTTCTCATAGTTAATATATTAATTATAACAGATTCATATAATTTATTGATTAATTTAACTTTTCTAAATCAATAGAATGTTCTTATACTATCTAAACATTATGATACCTTTTTTATTAAAACTCTTATTATTCAAAATATTTCTATTTTTGCAATTATGTGATTTTTTAAACAGAACGGGGTTTTGGGGTTTTGGGGAGATCGGAAGAGCACAC